CCGCCCGGGTCCCCGGCGCCCACGCGCACGCACCGGGCTCGGCTGCCGAGCGTGGTGCGGTGGAGGCGTCGGTGTGGGGAGTTAGGGTGTTGTTGGCAGGAAGGGGATCCCTGCGCCAGCCTAGCTCGTGCCAGGCGGGTTTTCAGAAAGGACATGTGACAGCCAAGGCTGGGGGTGGACAGACAGAAAGACTTGGGAGGGAGATAAAGATGCAGATCCCTCGGGGTTTCTCTGGTAAACGCCTGAACTGTGGGCTTTGGCGAGGAGGTGGGTGGGTGGGTTGCATCTGCACTCCGGCTGGGATCTTGAGGGAACCCCAAAGCACTTGCGTGGGTCCAGAGAGAGACCTCGCGCGCGCGTGGGGGGTGAGGGGGGAGGAGAGTCAAGAAGCACTTAGCTCTACCTCCAAAGGAACAGGAACCCGAGGAGCTTGCAGCCCAATCTGGTTGTTGCAAGGTCACCATTTCAAGGTTAATTTACAGTTAAGATTCCGTTCTGGGTGGGGGGAACCCCAACCAAACAAAACTCAAAACGTACTAATCATCTGTTTTGAAACCCCTGTCCAGATGTTTGTTAAAATGCTCGATAGCTCGATAGGACATGGACTCATGACCTTACTCATGTAACTGTAACCCCTCTGCACAGTATCTTTACAATAAAAATTATATTAAAAAATACTTGATGGGTCTGTAGGAGCCTTGGGGTGGCATTGGTGTCATTGACAGAAACACTGTGTTCTCTGATATTTATCCAGAGCTGCCACTCCTCCGGAGTTAGAAATATTAGCTCAGGTCCATGCCTCTTCTCCTCATTGGGAAAAGATCCCTGCAGAACCAAAAGTACACACCCGTGCCTCAGGTTAATGGCGCAAGGCCACTCCCAGCTTTGCAGATGCAATCCAAGGTCTCCTGTTCTTACCCGCCACACGTGGGCGTCCCTGGGAAAGCCAGCCATAGCCAGTTGTGTGGACGTTCTCCCTAGCCAGGGTGGAAGACTCCATGCAAACAGTCATAGCCTCATCTTGGAGTTGGAGAGTTGGCATGCATTTCTATCTGTCTTGAGATACACATGACTTAAGAGTAGGAGATTTCCAGATCCTTCGTGTGGGGTTAGGCTTTGAAATGAATTTTCTTTCAACATTTCATCTTGACTCTCAGAACTTAATTTTTTTCCCCCTGAGAGCAAAGTTTGTTCATCGGTAGAGATTAAGAAATAAATGTTCAAATCTTATTTTTAAGGGCAGTCTTGTAATCAGATGTGAAAATTATATTACAGTTCCATACTGGGATCCCTGTGCCTACCATGTATTCTGTACATTTGATGTACAAGAAGTTTATTTCTTTATTGGTGCTACTGGGGTTTGAACTCGGAGCCTTTTGTGTGCTAGGGAGACACCATACTGCTGAGCTACATCTCCAGCCTTGCTTTTCACTGGTGAAATTTAGGGTTGAGTCTCACCTCCTGCCCTGGTACAGTGGTTTGGCCTGTCCAATTCTTTTAGGCTTTTTATGAATCAAGCTGATGTACAGAGGGGTTACAGTTACATAAGTCAGGTAAAGAATACATTTCTTTCTGGACCATGTCACCCCTCCTCTTGCTCTCAGATTTTCTTTCCCAGCCCCAGCCGCAGTTGTATAGTTCATGTTCAACATAGTGTTAGCGAGTCCTATTGCTGCATTCATTCATCCTCTGTCCTTTCACGTGATCTGCCCAATTTTAAGCTTCTCATAGTGGCTGGGATTACAGGCATGTGCCCCAGTGTTCACCTTCCTTCTGTGGAGAGGGGACTTTTTCTGCCCAGGCTGGCCCAGAACCACCATCCTCCAATCTCAGCCTTCCAAGGAGCTCGGCTCATGAGCCTGAGCCACTGACATCTGGGCAGAAGAGTGTTTCTAAGATAGACTTTCCCCATATGTTCTGTGGTTACAAGGAATGTCTGCAGAATCAAATTACTTTCCCTTGAACCAAAAGTAAGGTCCACGTAGCTGGATAGGCTGCTCCTGACTAAGTACCCACCTTCAATCAGCATTTGTGTCACATGCAAACAGGATTTGTGGCCGTCAACACGGCTGCAGCTTCTTGCAGCCTGGTGCATGGCAAAAGCTCACATGCATTCTTTGGGGTTGCCCATGGCACTATGAGCATTGGTGCAATATTTACTGGAAGGCCACACAGACTGAGGCTGCGGTGAGAATAACTGCTTGGTATGTGGCCGGCATGAAGTGCTTCCTGGTGCTAGCTTATTCTCATTAGCAAGTCAAGCTTCCCTGAGGTCCCACAGCACAGGTCCTGTGGCTGAATGGAGGAGGTGGCAGGCTGGAGACAGATATAGAATATCCTCTCCCAGAAGCATTCCGCAGTGGGACTGAAGCCCCCTTGTCCAGCACTGTATGTGGCAGGTACCAAACAGTCTCATTGCCTGTCCCCTCCTGGATCACCACTGGAGAATGGCAGGTGACTAGAGGCCCAGCTGTCATTTTTATTTCATGGGGTCATTTAGGTAGATGCACGCCTTGCTAATTAGAAGTACCTTGTAATCATCACAAAGCCCTATGTACGTGGGACGCCCAATGCTTTTTAAGGAGAGAAATTTTGAAACTGTCATCAGAATTGTCTAGAACTGTAGACCTGAGCCAGGTGCTAGGTCATTCATTTTACACCTTCCTGTGTCCTGAATAAGTCCAGTCAAGTGGAACACAGATTGAAAATACTGTTTTTTTAAAAAAAATGGCATCAAGGGAGAGAGACTGAAGGAAGGGGTGACATTGTCCAAAAGGCCATGGACTCATTACCTGACTTAGGAAACTGTAGCCCCTCTGTCTATTACCTTTATAATCGCAACTCAAAATGGCAGCAAGCTGGACATGAATGGCTTGTGCCTGTAATTCTAGCTACTGAGGAGGCTGGGATCTGATCATCTCAGTTCAAAGCTAACCAAGATAGGAAAGTCCATGAGACTCTTAGCTCCAATAAAACTTATAAGCTAGCCAGAAATGGAGCTGTGGCTCCAGTGGTAGCATGCTAGTTTTGAGCGCAAAAGCTTTCAGGCAGGGTCCTGAGTTCAAGCCCAAGACCGGCATTAAAAAAAATAATATGGCATCAGGCAAAGCCCTGTCATCATTTCCTAGTTAATACAACATATTGACAGTTTACACAACAGTATCGTAGATATAAGTAGTGTAGAGATTATTTCAAATGATTTCAACCACCCAGCGGTGTAAAAAGTCTATAACAATACACCACCTCATTTTATAGGAGTAACTTGAGCATCAGGTTTTGAGTATGACGAGGTCGATGTCCTGAAACCAGTTCCTCTGGGAGGGCACGGGGTGACCATGACAGCGGGGTTCTGTGCTTGCCTGAGTACCCCGGAAGGCGGAAGGGGATACAGATGCCGGTAGGCCTCACAAAGCACCAGACCCTGTTCTGCTATCCTGGAACTCTTCACTCCTATGCTCTAGTGGGAAATAATGCAGCTAAAATGTATGGAGTCTAGGAGGGAGCATGGGAAAATTCCAGAGCAACCCCTCTGCTGAGTGAAAGCCTTAGTGTAACTTGCATAACTTCCTACGAACACAACTCTTTTTACATAACATTCAGAAGATCTTGAGGTGCTAGACATCTTGTCATCTTACTTAAAAAAAAAAGAAAAGGAAGAGGAAGCCTGTTTTCCCCTCTG